CTCGCATCTCGATAGACATCTTCTAGGCCCGAAAGACGTGAGTGCCTGGCCTGGACTCGGGGTGAAAGTAGAGCTCAGCAGGCAGCAGGACAAAGGCTAATCGCTGGGACAATGCGTGACGGGGCAACTGGAGACGGGAAACAGAGGATGTCGTAAATTTCAAGTGTAACACCATAATGTCTTTTTCGGATTTCAGGTTCGAGAGAGTGGCTGCGATAAGGTTCTCCATTCCATTTCCTTAATTTATGTACGTGTAGGGTAAAAGTTGTAAAAAATGAAACCCGCAAGTAATTGAATAAAACTCAAGACAAAAGGTGAAATTTAAACTACTTATCTCGATCTTTCTCCCTTTGAATCAGAGTCCTTTTAGGAAATTCAGGATGAATGTGTGGGTTTGGTACATTTTTTTATCATCAGCTGTTAAGTCTAGAAACAGCCAAAAAGTTTGAAAAAAACGAAACAAACGACATGACGTCTGCAAAGATTATTTTGTATTTTTAAGAGCATTTACAAATATTTTAACAGGGAATATGGTTTTTGATAGGCACTTTATTAGTTTTATATATTTATTTTATACTAAAGACGAGCTAAATAAAATAATAAACATTTTTTTAAAGATATGCCTAAATTAACAACTCAACAAAAACTCTTAATCTTCTGAAAAACTACTCCATCTCCATCAACTTTGAACGTGATCAAGATCTTTCGACGAAGATAAAAGATAGAAAAAGTACTACTAGAAAATGCCTTCCTCTAATTTTAAAATTTCGCCGAAAGAACATATTAAAACCATTGAAAGAGCCACTTTTCCAAGCAAAGTACGTGCGGTGTGTACAAAATCTTGGAACAACGAAAATTGTGCTACACGTTTCAGGAATTCCAAGAACTCTAATTTAAAAAGAGTTATATTCTTTCTGTGGTTTTATGAATGAATCCCAAGTTTGGTTAAGACTTCAGTTTACGGGTTCGTGGAAACTGCCATGAAAACTTAAGGTGAATAGAAAAACCAGTAAAAGAGATCTAAGAATTAAAAAAAAGACCTATTTCAGTTTATATTCGGAAGTGAACTTTATTTACCAAAATTTGAACTTATTGTTTTTCAAAATATATTTTATTTTTATATATTATTTACCCAAGTTGAAGGCTGCAGAAATTTGTATAGCTCTTCCGCTGTAAGTGGTCTCTGGGACCGGACGGAGTTGATGACAAGAAAACACACCCGAGCCAAATAAACAAAAACCTACAGAGAAGAGCTCTCCCTGTTTATAGTGAAAATATGAGAAACCAATCCCGAAATGCTCACATATGTGACAGCCGCATACGCAACCACAAGTATGTGGAGAAATACTAATAAGCGGCTGGATAGGATGATGGATCTAAGGACGGATACAGGCAAACTAATCGTCCAGCCCACTCAGCCCTTGGTCAAAATAAATAATGACAACAAACTCTCACCAAGTGCTTAGAGGCAGGAATAACAACTGCAGACTGCAGCATGTGTTGTGAGCAAACAGAGTACACTCTAAACTCCGGTTCCAGGTTCCAGATCAGGGGATGATTGCAGTTCTTATTTTAGAGCCTTTGTTTTTTTAGGATGACAACTCGGGCTTGAGCCTGGGACCCACAGTAATGAAAGCAAAACAAAAATTGAAACTCAAAATAAATAGGAGCGGAAACAATAATACATGCATACTTTCCTCTAGACAGCTCGGCAGTCACGCTAAACGGGTTTCAGAGGAGGCAGAAACTGCTGGCAGGCAGACAGCCAATTAAATGCTTATAAAGGTTAGATTTATGCGAGACAGTTGACATGTGTGAGCCGATGATGAAAAGAGGTTGTCTGTCGGCTGTGCCAATTGCCAACCCCCGGCGATATCTCCTTATGCTAACAATCTTTATCCCATGACTGCTCATCGGCACACACATGGCCATACACTCACGTATCTCTAAGTAGGATCAATATAATGCCAAACAAATGCGAAAACAAATCCTGGACTTAGAACGGATAAACAAGTAGCCTCAACAATGGGCAACCGTTTTTCGGTTTTGGCTTAAATCCAAAACCTGCCAATCATTGCCTTTTGTCAGAACTGTCAACAGTTTTATTTAAATGTTTTTGACCTTCTTCATGCGAATTTCTTAGCCTTTGTGTCTTGACTACCTCTCTTTGTCATCCATTTTTGTCGAATATAAACACAGAAAGTATTAAAAAGTAGGCTACATATAAAGAAAATATTAAAAAGTAGTAGTAGAATTTCAGGGAAATAAAAACATATTGCAATAATTTATTGAATTGATATTTAAAAATAATCATTTTCAACATATTAAGATGCAACATAAAGTGTAAAAACAATGGCGATTGTCGTATTAAAAATTTCATATGCATATCTATTGATTAATGTCTCAATACAACCTCCATGCTAATAGTATTTTTCCCATAAAGTTATTCAACATTTTACCTGCCACCGGATATTGTCATGTCCCCCAGCTTAGCCAATTAGCACAATATTAAAGAATTTTATTATCGTCGTAAAAAATCAATTATTAAAACAGCTTTTCCTACTTCTTAGACAAAAAAATAAAATTGTTACACACCCATTTGCCATGTCGCACACACCTATTATACCATAAGAGTGAAACAAATTTAATAAAACTCTTGATTTTGTATGCAAAACACACAGCAAAATGTTATGGGTCATTAAATGCGGAACTTTTTGAGGTTGCCAGCAGAATTCATATGCCATATAAAAAAATACTCTTCACATGAGAAACGATATTGGCAAATAACTTCAATCGTAAATTGCGTGTAATCACCGAGGGCAATAAATTTTGGCTTTTATCAGATGGCAAATTAAATGTGATTTGAATTTTGCCCTTTCTTCATATTACTTTACATTCATATTTTCGCATAAGAAATCCAAGTTAAATCAAAATTCAGGAGGCGCCAGTCGATTGTATATGTATAACCCCTTAGGTGCTCGGTGGGGCCTTTGTCGGAAGGTTATGTAAATCAGCCGATCGGAGACAAGGCGATCTGCTGAGGAAGACTTATGCAAACACCGATTGACTGACTGACGTATTGACACAAACATGCTGCCGACTGGTGGCTTCCATCGAACTAAAATGAAAGTCAAGAACTGTGTCCATGTCAATACAAGCCATATATCAGTCATGCCTAGAAATCAGCCAACCCGAACCAGCCGTCAGTCGCTCAGTCCATCAGTCCCTCCGTCCGTCAGTCCGTCAGTCACTCACTGTCCCGTCTCCGTTCTGTTTCCGACTCGGGCTCTGATTCAGAATCCGATTCTGGTTTGCAATGTCTGCGCAATGCAGTTCTGACATTTTATTGATTGAAGAGGCAACATTGAGGCAAACACACACAACACACACACACACACAGAGCCAGAGAAAATGCAAATATTTAACAACTTTTTCGTTTTCCTTCGGTCCACGGGCAATAGCAATGTCTTCTGTGGGTTTTTTCGAGCCCTGCCACTGCCACTGGTCTGGGTGTGTAAACATCGGACTTTTATTTAAATATAAACTCGCTCGCCCATCGCATTGCATTGAATACATGATTGAATATGACTCCCGAATGACAGATGGATTTTCTCTGTGCTCGATTGTTTCGATTCGTTTGTTGTCTTTGGGTGTCTGTCTGCAGCTACGTTTCGGCCTGGTCGAATGCCACACACGATTCAAAATCGGATCCCGACGACTCCTATTCCGGGTCGCTGCTGCTGTTATTTGTCGTGTACATGGGCATGCATAAGTCATAAGTTTCGGAACGAGCATGATTTTCCCTTTTTCTTTAAGGCCTCCTCGCCGCCACTGTGCAAATATGCGCATACATAATTTGAAAATTTCATAAAGAACAGTGATTAAAACAAGCTGAGATAAAAGCAATAGGAATAGGTTTGAAGACATCTAGAAATTTGGATATGGTATATTTCTGTGAAGACAGACAAACTTGTTAATATTCATAAGGTGTTTTGTTATCAGTTATCGTAAAATATATATGTCTGCCTTCTAATACCAAAATAATAGTACCAATCTTGTAAGGGTTAATCGATTTGCCAGATCCAAGTTCTCACTACTCGGCATCATTAATGTCAAACGGCATGACATGGACTAGGAAATTAAATGACAACTGCAGGCTTCTGTGATCAATTGACACTCGGTGACCACGAGTTCGACCTCGACCAGTGCCAATCCGTATGACTACCCATTGACCCGACCCAGACCCTTTCCCTCTACAGCGGCCAACTCGCTTATTCTGTCCAGAGTGTCAAATTACCCAGAAAGCCGTAAATTTAGGCCTTCTGGCTGCTGTCATCCGACCGAGAGGCATTCGCCTGCCTGGCTGGTTGGCACACAAAATTGGTTTCGGTGTCTGCTCGGCTGTTAATCTCTGCTGCAGAGATTAGCGCCCCCATTAAGGTGGGCAAAAAGGTGGCACAGGACATTGGGAATCGTTCCCTCATTTTTCAATACCCCTGACAGCCTTTGCCATATAGTATGTTCCCTACATAGTATGTGTTATCCGATGCGGACCCGGGAAAATTGATACCTTGTGCACTAAGCCAAGAGCTAATTAGGTGCACGGTCTGATTGAGAGCAGAGCAGGGAAGCTCCTAGCCAATTCACCAGCCAGGAAACCCTATACGAATAGGAAGCACTGGTTGTGACCACAGGAAATCTCACACCATCGGACATGGCAAAACCTTAAGGATCTAATTACAATTAATAAATTGTTTTTTTATAAACAAGTTTCTCACTAATAAACATGTCTACTGGTAAGGCTAAATACATTCTTATTTCATTTTTTTACACAAAAGAAGCAGATAATATATCTGGATTATATAATAATAAATACCTATTAATATTGAACTTTCACGGTGTGTCACTCGTAAGACCTTGGAGTGGTAATGCATTCGTTCCAAAATGCTTTGGATTAATATTTTTAAAAACGTTTATAGTCCATAAAAATTTAGCTTAGTTTTGCCATGACTGCCCTGGAAAACACACCTAAAACGATGAGCTTGAAGTTGTTGCTGCTGGTTATTTTCTTGGTGCCACATTGCCATTGCAATGCGTTTGCTGTAAGTTTAGCCTCAATTTGATATCTTTAAACTTTATATACGTAATGAGATCCACCTTGCAGGAGAATAAAACGCGGTTACTATTTAAGGAAATCGATGAAGTATTGGTGAAACTTATTGTAGAACACACCATGATGTACTCTGAGAACCAGAGTTGCTTTAACAAGTTGGACGTGCTTAAAGGTTTGTTTCGTTGTTATTTATATGAAATATAGAATTAACAAGAATTTTTTTACATTTTTACAGAGGACTACCGTTCTGTAAGTATATAAGGGATTTTGTGAGATTTGCATGTAATGCTTTTTGATTTCAGAATAAGTATGGCTTTGCAGTACTGAAGAATGTCCTTCAGCGTTATCACAACTTAGCTGAATTGCTTAATTTTGGTTGTAAAAAGCAGATGAATGGGAAAATCTCCATTTCAGAAAAAGACTCGTATTGCGAACGGTTGTTCGGCTGCCACAAAATTGAAATTCAAATTAACAAGCGTCCCAAATTAAGTCTAAGAACCGAAGCCATAACTAACGACAATGACAATACGAATGAGAATGAGAATACGAATACGAATGCCAACGCCAATAACAATACGAATACCAATACCAATGCTAATAACAATATCAATGCTAATCAAATCACTATCTTGGTGAATGTCGTTCAGCCCTCAAGAAAACCAAAAATGACGGAAACTCCTCCTTCTGCAATTTATGATTCATTGCGTCGTCCATTCGATTATATGCATGGATTGATTAGCTCGGTACTTCAGCCCACGAACACCTAGAATGTCATCATGGACTAATTCCAAGTTGGAATTACATGTATGATAAGACCAGGTTTGTTTTTAAGTAATTAAAGAACAGACAAAGGCAAGGTTTTCATTCAAAATGTAAAAATATTTGCGGTTTTCTTACTCAGCTCAGAGCGCCTGCAGTGCCCAAATCTATTCTCACCTTTGTGCTAATCGCCTTGCACAACACAAATCCAGTTTCGGAAAAAGCTGAGGGACTTGGTGCCGGCCCACTCCACAGGGCAGCTGTTGTTGGTCCTGTGAGACCAGGGGGAATTTTTTGCTTTTGTCGACTTTTTGTGAAATCCTGATGGAAGTAATTGTTTATGCATTAAATAAGCCGATGCAGAGTGGAGCAGAGATGAGCCCGCCAGATACTCGCACTCACTTGGTAGACAACTGACAAAATATGTAACACAATGGCTGAGGGGTAAACAACAAGTGAGAAGGAAGGGCGGGCAGGGAGCAGCTTAGCAAATCTGACAGGCAGTCAAATACAATGGCACTTAGTCCCTGCCAGGGGTGTGTTCGTTCTGCTCTGAGCTCCTCACGGGTCCTGCGCATTTATGATAGATATCTAATGCCATGATGGATAGACAGACAGACAGACAGCTCTCTCTCAAAAGAAACTGCCTGCCTTCCGACAGGGATTAGGCTCGGCGGTCCCAGCTCCCTGATTGTTATCGCACGCAATTTTGTAATTTGATGAAAACAAACGAATTAAGATAGGCATCGCTCGGAATCCGGTAGTTCCAGACACCGAACAATGCAAGTGACGACTGCGTCTCCGAGCTGTCAAGCCCCCATTCAGCTAATCCCCGCCAATTGGTATCGTGTAGGCTCTATGATTCGGTTCGTCGGTTTTCGTTCACACCGCTGCTGTGTGAAACCCGAAGCAGCCAGAAGGTGGAGGTAACTCGATATGCATCACTATGCACCCATTGTTCTGCAGATCTGGTAGCCACTGATTAGACCAGGAGGCATCTGCAGGGTAGAGTTCCAAGACCGGTAGGAGTCCTTTGACATTTCCCTCAGGTGCCACAGATGGGAGAGCGGACTAATTGAGGTGCCCCTTGTTAAGGACAAGGCGGTAGCAATAATAAATTGCCAATTGATGAAGGAATTCATTTGGGTTTAATTAAATTAATGCAAATTATACCAGATCATAGAGGAGAGGAGGTCCATATGGCATAGGTATTCAATTTACTTAACTTCAAACGTTGTAAATACATTTTAAATTCTTTCCCTTGAATATTACTTGACGGAGTTTTCCTCACACATTCAATCGCATTCAAGCTCTGCCATAATGGCCATTATAATGGAGCATATCATAGATAGATCGATCAAATGTGGAACACAGGTAGCTGGCAGCCGATGTAATCAAACGTGATCTCTCGGTGGCCCCACAGGCATCAAATTAATCTATACGCGTTGCCGCCGCCACCTCGCGTACAAAGGAAGAAAAAAAAAGTCAGTTACTTTAATGAAACACATGTGTCGGCCTTCGCACAAAAGAGTGGGAATAGCCAGGGACCCGAAGCATACAATTTATGATTAATCACAAGATCGATGGGAAAATTATGCTCAAGACAAAAGGCCAGACGAAGTGGGGCCAGAAGCGAGCATTAATCTGCATTTTCTAGACTCCGTCGAGAGATGACAAAGCGTTTACGGCGCATATAATTATTGGTCGCCGCCAAAGATCAGATGAGAAGACGAAGTCTCAAGTGGCAGGAAATGCTACTTAATTTGCCTTTGTTGGTCCCCCTCTCGTTCTCGTTCTCGGCCAAGATAATGTCTTAAGTATCGGCGACCAAAATGTCATTAATGACAAGTGCTTATAATGACTGGTAAGACGTTTTGTGAAAAAGTCTTTCAATCCGACTCGCTGGAAGCATGTATAATTTGCTCGTATCTCGCAGTACAATGGGCCTGGCCGGCTACTGGGCCAATCGAAGTCATGGGAGACAATTATGAGTGGTGTGTGATCATGGGGCTACCTCCATTACTGGGCTCAATCGAGCGGATTTGGCGGCTCAGTTCAAACTGGCTCCCATAATCAATTACGGTCACTTTTATGTTGATTCGCCACGGCTGGTCTCATTAAAGATTTTTCCTGTCTACACACATTCGAAATAAAGCTCTGGGATTTTCAACTGACAGCTTGATTGATTAAGTCAATTGCCTAATCGGTCACAGAATTTATTTTATTTTATATCACATAACACAACGATTTGGCTAACTAAAGCTATATTCTTAGCCATAACCTTTTCTTAGATTCAGAAGGGTGAAGTAAGCTATATTCTTAGCCATAACCTTTTCTTAGATTCAGAAGGGTGAAGTAACTGTACTAAGGATGGCTGGAATATCGATAAGTTAGCGCTAAAAGCGATAGCTTTCGATACATTAATTAAATACAATTTCGATATAAGACTTTTTCGATCGATATATGTTTTTACTTAAGCTCTACAATCACATGTACACACATACCTCACAAATTAAATCTTAGACTTGACTTGCATTAATATAAATTTTTTTTTATAATTCCATATACACACAAAATTCCCCATAAGTGGGTGCCTTTTGCAGAAGATACTCGGGGAGCTCAACAAATAGCAGATCACAAATTGCAAGAAAAAGAAAACAACAAAAAAAAGACACGATAAATACCAAGATGCTCAGTCTTAACCATTAATAACTAGTAAGCTCAGCAATGTTGTTGCATTGCCAACTATTTTTGTTCACAGACGACAGCAAACATTTTGTAATTATAACGCAAAAAGGCCGCGACAAACTCATTTGTCCATGGTGAAAAATGCACATTACACAGCGGCGATGGCATCGTTGCAGCCTCCAGAGATTGACACGGAGAGAGGTGAAGATTGGCCAACTGCCATTTGAGGCTGGGACAGGATGGTGGTAAAATTGCCATGGCAACAAATCAAGCATCATAATGTGTCAAGCAATGCATTAAGTGGCCCAACTGGAACGTCAAGGCAAACGCATTACATCGTAATTGACGGGAATTGTCAACACTCTGGGCAGGAGGCGCGGAATGGTTAGCAAAGAGCAGGTGGGGTCCAGGGCGAATTCTCTTTAGGCTGTCTTCTGCACAGAGAAAAAATATCTACGAAAATGTTCAATGGAATTTAATTATGATATGTGATTATACCAAAATAAAGTTTGGTTTCAGTGACTCCTAAGTCAAAAACTTATTGTACTAAAAAAAGTTTTTAAGTATTTAGTTTCTTTTTATATAAATAAAATCAAATATGATCTGGTTAATTGTTTTCTGTGCTGGCCACTCACTTTATTTACCGCAATTACCGATTACAGCTTACTTTATGGCCAGAGACCAGTTTCTTCACAATTGCCAATGCTTTAGATTGTCTTAACGCATTTTTTGCTTCCATATGGGCTTGGTAATATTTTATTGCCAAGAAGAGATGGGTAGAGAGCCCTGTATATCAGAATAATTAGAGCTATTCTTAGGGAAGATCAAGTAGAGAAACATAAACGTATTTATATGAAAGCAGACCTAATTTTAATGTTATATAAATATGCTAAAGCTTATTAATGAAATTAATAATTAAAAATATATGCAAAATATATGCACCAATATTTTTTAGATTAAATAAATATGGCAGTATATAGAAACATTCATTTAAAGGTCATTCCGTGTTTCCTTCATCAAAATGCCTCTTTCCAACCGCACAGAACCTGGTCTGACGTTGCAGTTTGCGTTTCCCTCGACAGTGACAGTTGATGGGGTCCTGTCCAATGAATATATGTCAACAAGCCTTCAACATTGTCGTTTTCAATTTTCGGCAGGATGTCAGCCAAGGATATTTATGGTCGAGATGGTGCTGGGGGTAAAATAATCGAGGTACTTTGATCGTATTCCTCAAGCTCGTTACGGCATGCGATGCGTTCGATGGTCCGGTGGAAACAATTTCGTATGCGTCCGTATAATGAGTAGCAACGAGTTGAAGTCAATGCTGGAGTTGTCCCTTCGCTGTTCAACTGCGGTTGTTGATCTGCTCCTGCTGCTCCTGCTCCAGCTCCTGCTGTTGATTATCCCTTGACAGGGCATCAAATGCGAAATCGACCGCCCAATTTACATACAATGCACATCAATCGAATGGCAACGGCAGCCACATCAAGTACTGGGCCCTGCCACTGCGGCATCAGGAGCAGCAGTCACTGTCACTGCCATTTACCCTGCCAGCGGCACTGGTCACCTTTGTGGCATCATCGGTTTTTCCCTTACTTGCCGCATTTTTTGCCTCAGTCCCGGGCCTTTTGGGCCTGGCAATCAAGCGTACTTGTTGTACGACTCCAGCTCCAGCTCCAACTACCAACAACTTTAGCGGCCATGACACAAAGATTGACAGCATGTCGTCGCTGTTTGGAAGCCTGATTGACATGAGTAATCAAGCAGCCGAAATGTGCCCACAAAACGCAGCCAGCAGTGACACTGACAACGAAGCCGGCGAACCAAACAGCGATGGTTGCGTTGCCTTTCGTTTGCCCCTTTAACTGACAACTTGCAGTAGCAGCAGCAGCAACATGCAACAGCAACAGCAGCAACAACAGCAGCAGCAACATAGCCTGTCAGCCGCATGGACATACCAATGCCAAAAGGGCAATTTCGTTGATGAAACGGGGGATGTCAATGAGCTCAAAGGATGCCCGACTTATAAATGCATAAGCCTTTACTACCTTAATCAGAATCAATTAAGTTTGGCTTTTGTTTTATATTAAAAAAGAGCTTTAAATGTATAACAAAAAGTTCTAGGTGGAAATTTAAACAGTTATAAAAAAAAACTACTGACTTATTTAACAAATTTTATTAATTTATCTTATTTTTTGTTGCAAAGCCAATGCTGCAACCTTCACAGTACACCCTATTCTATCCCTTCGCTGCCTTTCATACATTCTCATCCAATTATAACATTCCCAACTAATTTACGCATCGAATGCAAATCGTTGCCCCCAACTCCGATCCAGGCACTTTCGAAAATCCTTATCCTTGGCAGGTTTCGGAACAGAACCCATAGCCCCATTGTCAACTCGAATGTGGCCTTTGATGAAGGCGACACGACATTGACAGACGGTAGCCGATTGACTACTGACAGGCGGGACAGGACAGAAGCCCCAAAAGAACGAGGAAGGGGGATCATGGCCTGATCTGGCCACAATGATGCAGGGGCAAAGGAGAACTGCAAACTGCAATTCTGATGACTTTTTGTCAGGACTGATTGACGTCAACGACTCAACGACGTTTGTCCGGCATATAAATCTCTGGGCTCGTTTGTTTCTTGGTCATCCCATCCCCACATATCCCGATCCCAATTCGAATCCCAATCCCAATCCGGGTTCCAAACAGGGGGATTATAATGCCCGACATCGACGGCGATGCGATGCATAAACAATGCCACTTTAAATTGGCAATTGTTGCGACAGTAAATTTTACAATGAATTACTGCACTGCCGTTCCTTTGCCTTCCTCGTTGTTTCTGCGATTTCTCAAACTGCGAAAAATAAAAGGGTCGACTGGCTGCCAGCAGATATATGTATAATTGCACCTCTTGGCGGCGAAAGTACGGTCTAAGCTAGCCTGAACTTGAACTGCAAATTAGGGCGTAGCTAAATACCGATTTGGCCGATTTTTTGAAAGTTCCAACTTGTAGGCCACAGACTTTTTACTATAAAAAGGCCGCCCTAACTTCAGTTTAGTACAGTTCACTTCGGTTCAGTGATCACACAACAGTAGTCCAGCCAAGATCAGCTCATAGCCAAGCAAAGGTACCATGGCCCAAAAGGTGAGTTTCAGCCAAAGGATACTAATCCAACAGAGAGGCTTAAATAGCTCCATTTCCCTCAGTTTGTCGTAGCCTTCGCCCTCTTGGCCATTGTGGCCATCCGGGCAGCTCCCTTCCACGGTCACGACCATCATGGTCACGGCGGGGCCACCAGCCACGCCTCCGTGCATCTTACATCCCACGATGACCACCACGAAGAACATCACGGTCACGATCACCACGGTCACGGACACGGTCACGACTCGCATGACTCGCATGCCGAATACGATTTCAACTACGGAGTCAAGGATCACAAGACCGGGGATGTGAAGACCCAGAGCGAATCTAGGCACGGCCATAAGGTTACCGGACACTATGAGCTGATCGACGCCGATGGTCACAAGCGAACTGTCCACTACACCGCCGACAAGCACAAGGGTTTCGAGGCCCATGTCCACCGCGAGAAGCTCCACGATCACCACCAGGCTGATCACGGCCATGGACACGGACACAGCGGCTATGAGGGCGGCCATGTCGATTTCGAGGAGCACTCTTCTCACTCCGGTCATGACTACAGTCACGGCCATGATCATGGCCATGGACACGGACATGAGCACGGCAGCAGCTCTCACAGCTACTCGCTGAAACAGGAGCATGGACATGGACACAGCCACAGCCACGGACACGATCACGGCTTCGAGCACGGACACGGTTATCATTAAGTTGTTACAAAAAAAATATCACTGTTTATCCTACTTGAAATGGCCCCATACCAAATACCCCTTGTTGTTATACCAAAATAAATCAGGCAAATATTTTCGAAAGTGAAAAAATATTACTTGCAGTTAATCATTCCAGTTCTACCCTAACTTATCGTAAAGGATATATATATCTAACCAAACTAATTTGAATTATGAATGCTAGAAAATTACAATTCTTAAAAATTGATATCTATATTAATTCTCCTGGTGTAATCCCAAATCATAATTTAAACAAAACACAAACCAAAAGCTGGTAAACTGCAAATAAAAAACCCAGCTTCGACAGTAATTTCAGTCAGAATCAACAATATGCCAAACGACTGCAATTACAATACACAAATATTTCATAAATGTCGACATTATAAATCTTCTTCATGTAGCTTATCCATAAATTTACCAGAATCTATTGGTTTGATATTTCAGGTGCCTGAAAACTTGTATCATCAATTCATACATGCATGCAGGATTTTTTTTTATGGACGATTTCTTTTCACTTTTAGTGGTGGCAATTGGAACTTTGGAGCTGGAAGTCCTTTATTCATCCTCGCCAACCGATAAATCAAATATATATCTCCCTAGCTCTCTCTCTCTCTCTCGTGTGTGTTTGTTGCTTCCCCTCTTCCGAGCTGGCTACAATTTGTTTAACAGACAGGCTCGGCACATCCTTGCGTTATCCTGTTGCCCTCGTTTGTTGCTGTATTACAAATGACTGTGGAATATTTATAAGCATCATAAATTTAATTTATGTCGCCGCTGCGCCCGCCGCGTTTATTGTGCGCATAATAAACGCTCCACAGAAATCCCTTCTCGACCCAGCTCGACCCGGATCTCCTCCTGCCGCTGCCAAGTAATTTATTATTTTTATACGTTCCATGTGTTTGTGTGGCACGCACTTTCCACATTATATAGAAAAAAAAAAAAGATATAGTGCGAAAATTGCAGCAGCTATTACTTATAGTTATTAAGGTTTTTTTGTTGCTGGATTTTCTTGTTTCTGACTGCAAATAATGATTAATGTTTCAAAGTTGTCCCTCGCATTTGAAATTGGTAATATATATGTATTTTTTTAAGCAAGTCTTTACTAACATGAAATATAATCATGAATAAGGAATAAAACTACTAAGTACACCTTCAGGAAACCTGCTTTCAGTACCAAAAAGAAATACAATACAAATAAATAAATTAACAACAGCTAAGCACTAACTTACAACACAAAGGAAAAGTTAAATAAATAAATTAAATCAAATTAAATAGTATTCTCCATATTCCAAAATACTTTTTTTTGTGCCGCTTAGGATACCTTTTGTATTTTAATTTTGCCAATCGCACCTCTCAAACAATGCATTTCGACGCTTAATTAGCTTAAATTGATCATTTACATGCCATCTAATGCAATTGATTCATAAATTCCACGGTCAACTTGCTCCAACGAGATTAAATTGAAAGTAATTAAGCTGAACATAAAGGGAACGTGAAATCGCTGTTGCCTCAGATCGTAAATTAAGTTGATTACGATTTATTTGAAATGAAATCAAGCCAACAAAAAAGCACCGATACGCAAAACGAAATGAGTTTTTTAGAAAACCAAAAAACTAACCAAACGCGTTGATCAATTTGCATTGCAAATTGCTTTGTCAAGTGAGTTTTGAGCTTTAAAGCGAACCATCCGCGCATAAAAATAAAGTAAATATATATTTTATGTTTCACTTGTCGTCGTTTAATGCCATAAAAATGGGTATGTGTCTTATTAACTGATGAGGCTGTCGATGCGACAAAAAATATATACATATATCCCCAAACCGGTATGGCACCAGCCAAGTAAAATCCGAGCGGAGGGCGCGGGCGCCCCCAATCCAATCCAATGCCCGTTACCTGACTTGGGCTATGGTGTCATTAATTTTGGAATCGTAAAGCCCACAATATGTCAAATGAGACCACACAGCGTCGTAAAATTCAATGTTTATGGCCCGCCGCCGCTGATTCGGTATAGGCTATAGCCTGGGTTTCTCAAGTTGAACTTGCTTCGATTTTTTGGCTCTGGCCCGAGCTTTGAATTTTGTTATCAAAAGTGTCGCGTCGCTTTTAATGGCTTTTGCTTTAGGTGGCTGCGGCTGCCTTGTTGCGTGTTTCGGTTTTTTAAACGCTTGCCAGAAAATTAAGCGTAACTTATTTGTCAAGTTTCTGCTCGTTTCTTGAGTATTTCGTTGATTTTTTCGTTCGTTTGTTTATTGAGCAAACGATTTTTGGGAAACATAAATTAGACTGATTCGGTAGGAGATTGTGCCAGGTCTAATAAGCACAAGATGGGGTATAAATTACTCTGAAAATTAAGAGATAATCGTAGAATTTGTAGTTTATTGATTGCTTCATGTATTTAAAAATTACAATCAATTAAATGGCACAACATAATATTTATAAATGTGCTAATACATATTTTAAGATTCATGGTTTTGTATAAAAAATAAAACAAATAGGGGGCTTATAGTATTTCCACCTAGCTATTGTTAAAATTTATTTTCTAAAAAATATAAGGAGTCTAATTTGACAAATTAAAGTCCTTTAAGGCCCTTTTTTATCAGACCAATTAAAATAATATTCTGTACACATAAAAGTTCTCATGAAATGTGTATTTTTATATTAATACGTCCTGTTCTAAAAAAAACTAGAGAAAGTATAATAAACTTTGTAGAAATGTATAATAAAAATAATATAAGCTGCATTCTTAGTAGTTTAATTATAATAATTATAATTATATTTAATGCTCATTTTAAAAAGACATTTTGAAGAATTAATTATAATTAATTAATGAATTAAAAGTGTAGAATTCATGTAACAAAATCTTAATTTTGTTGGGAAATTTTGTTTCGAGTGAAAATATTTATTTCTTGTTATAAAATCCATAAAATAATTGCATGGAATGCACTTCATACAAAAATCCAGTTGCATTTAATCTCCGTGCACCATTTGGCCAATTGCATTGCTTATTTTTACACACACACACACATTTTCGAAATATCAATAAATATTTTACTAATTACACCACAGAGTGATTATTTAAGCCGACTATGGGCTAACCGGCGTTGGCTTTGCCACTGCCGGTCGGCAGTCAGATTGTAACAGATGCCCCATGGCATCCATAATAATGTTAAATGCTTTATAATAACCATAAATGTTTGAAATGTATGTGCCAAATGGCTTTTGGTGGCAGCGCACACAGAAGTCCCGTCCAGTCGAATAACCAGTTCAAATCCAGCTGCGTCGCTCGACAGCCGGCACAGTGAGAGGTCCCGTCCCGTCTCGTCCCGTCCCGGGTCCAAGTCCGAGTTTTTGCCATGGAAATTGTTTATGAACATTTCTGGGCGAGTGTGTGTGTGTCTGCGGGTCTCTGAATTTAACTGATTTTTAATGTGCGCGGCGAGACTTGTGGGCGGTTTGCGAGATAGCCTAGGCATGGGCTTGGGGTCGACACATAACGCCATTTGGTATTAGCCAATTTGCGGCAGTTTATTGGTGGAAAACGATTTGGCATGATTGGCTGCCGGCTACTGTTTAATAAACTCATTGATTTATGGCTAATTAAATTTGCTGGCTCTATTAATTTATGCCATTTTCCGCGGCACATGCGCGCAATCGAATGCGTTACCCGATGGGTCAATGCTACATTTAACCAGTCTAATTAGCTCCAACTAACCGAATGGCCAAATAGCCTGCTCGAGTGTGTGTATATATCGATGATTAATGATCAGCAAATTGGGTTGACGGGTAAATGGAATTTTTCTTTATTTTGCCGTTGAGCTGACCGTGAAAATTGAGAGCCCGCAACGCCCCAAACTGTCAGTTATACATCACGATTGATGGATGTGCCCGTTCGATGGAAGACGGCGCGAGAGTAGAAGCCACCATCCACTCATCGTCATTGTCGGTAACCATTATCCGTGGCTCTAGCCCCGGGTTCTCGGCCATATCCCATATATATGTATATAAGCTCGTAAATCGTGCAAAATGATCCTCACTTTCCACCATCAGGGCCCTCTCTAACCGCTGATCTCCCGAAGTTCAGGCTGCCCTCGCTTATCCGAAATTGTAATCATCTTAATAATAGGCTCTGCAAGCCTTAATGCTGATTATGGGCTTTGTTTTCGGCCCCGGACGGGAGACTGGAGATTGCATGTTGGCCCAGCTAGCACCCGAGCACATACGCACCATAATTAGCCAGTGCAGCTTGGAATTGGCTAACGGGCAAAGTCGGTGACTTACTAACTTTCCCTACAGTGCTAGCTCCTAAAAGTTGATAAAATCTTTCATTGAGAGTTGATAAACAGAAGAATATCCAGTGCCCTATTCTCTAGATTTTCCACTATGCTGTGTAGGCTTTACTTAAGTTTTCATGATATTTCCAAAATGTAATTAATTTTCGAAAATTAACCATGTTGCAATACCTTATCTTGGCTTCATTTTAGTTTTTTTTTATATCATAAACTTTATGTGGCTATCAAAATTAATTTCCAATATGATTGATATGTTTTGCAGACACACGAAACCGCTTTCAAAGTAAAATGACTTTGTCCAGCGGACATCAATAAATCATTGAGACAAAAACGTGAACACGCGGCACACATTAGTCAAAGAGGGCAAAGGCAGCCGAATCCGAGCTGTTGGCCAAAACGCATAAACATTTTACAGCACAAACAATTAACTAAAAATAACATAAAAGAGTAGGCAGCGATCCCCGAGACATGGGGCCAACTTGAAAGTCTGGAAACGGAAAAAAAATGATTAATGAACCCCACACTGGCAGCTCGGGAAAGTTACATAAATTAACACATGTCTTTACCATAATGAGTCAACAGCCAGTCATTTGGCTAAGTAAGAGTCTGGCCAAGCTCACTCCAAGTCTAGTCCGAGACGTCCAGCCCCCCAGGCACTCCATTTGGCTTTAATACAATAAATGCGTCTGCTGATTGTTACTTTTAAGGTTTATTTCTGCGGTTGGCATCGCCAGACACAGACAGCGGATATTAATTCTAAATCAATTAAGGGGCAACAAGTCAATGGAGGGAGCAGCATTAAAATTCAATTAGGAAAAATATCAGATTATCGAGATTTATTAGGAAACTCAGGCATGGGATATGAACAAAGATAATGTGTGATTAATCAATTTGAAAGATACATAAATTATATATTTTTAAATATTTTGTTGTCCTATGTAATGGTATAGAAAAATATAAAAAAGTGCACAATTAAATTATTCGATGAAAGTTAATCTGTCAGGAATCAATAGATATATTATATTTTCAGTGTTCTCCGCGTATAGCTAAATGAACACCCAGCGCCCCAACAATTGAGGGCATCTTTCTGGTCATGACAGGTTCCGGGACACTGCCGGACCGGGGCACACCACGCACACTCTCACGCCCATAACTGTTGTGTTTTTTTGTTGTTGTTAAAAGGAAGAAGACAAAGGAGCAGCCACAACCACATCGGCAGCAGCGGCAGGTCCAAGTTCATTCAAATGGTTCGGTCGAGGGCAGCAATAAAAAAGTGTAGCGTATGTGGCCGCAGGACATGCACAGGATGCGGAGCACTGGGGGAAGCTCAGTCAGACACTAATTCGATCTGATAATCATGGAGTCCCGCCAAAGGGCATGAATTGTAATTTCCTCTTTCGCGGAATTAACTGTCGGTCCCTGTCGCTTGGTCGGCTGGCTTTGTTGTTACGATGTTTGCAATTTTTTTTTTTTTGTTTTGTTTTCGTTTCGCTTTTCAGATTTTGTTGAATTTTTTTCGTTGTATATTTTTGTCGGCAGATACTCTCCAGGCCAACCATTGTTGTTAGCTGGTATTGTGTCATATTTATTTGTATAAAACATTGCGCTTTTGTTTTTACTGTCGCCGGCCCTATGTTTCTTTGCATTTCATTCATATGAACTCGGCTGCAGGATGGGTTTTTTATCCTTGCTTGGCCTTTGATGTTTAGGTTCTAACGAAAACCTAGTAATTTGAAAATAATGATTGATTAATGGATAGAATGTAAAGTATCTTAAAGATTTATTTAGGGGAATTATCTTAGTCAACCTGCTTTTATCTTATTTATTTTGATATAAAGACTAAAGATTAAAGAACTCTTTATATAAAATACTTAAGTTATATATAAAATTTAAATAAAATTATTTTTTGCAATAAATAAAGCATTTCTTTTACTTAAAATGTTTTTTAAATAGCACTCAATCTACAAAGACACAACTTTAGACTTTTACAATTCGCTAACAGCACTTCACTGAAAGCATACAAAAATCTAGGCTGATGGCCAAATAGCAGAACAGAACTTTGGCCCAATACAAGAGATATATGTATATACATTTACAGACAAACAGACAAACATACATCCTTGTTTATGTATTTAAATACTCACTCGTATATACATATATATGGAGACGGGACTGACTGAACAACAATTTTGCAAACTGAGGGTAAAAATAAAATCAGCATTTTTAGTAGTTAATTTAATTTATTGCAGCGTTTTTATGGTTGACTTTATTGCATAATAAAACATAATTTACTGCGCCATTGAGACTTTTTGCGTTTGCGTCGATGATTCTAAAGCGCAGCCATCTAGCATGGCCCACAGAGGAGTGAGTGGTGGAAAGCAGGCCCACAGATCCGAGCAAATATGGAGACCGGAGGAGAATGTGGCTGCTGCGAAATTGGGCGAGACAAAGAGGATGCCGATGCCGATGCCAACAGGGGAGGAAAGCCCAATAGACCCATGAGAGGTGGAAAGCGGCAGACAGATTGCGATTTCATTTTTTGTTTGCTTAGTTTTCATTCCTGGAAGAGACTGGGGGAAGCCCCGGATATAATGGATTGCCTACTGATTAAGGTTGAATGTGGTCCCCCCTTTTCCGAAATTATCAACTAGAAAATATGGCAAACGTTCTACCTCCTTCACTATGAATATTATAAATATAAATCTTTTATGCTTAAAAGAAAAATATTACAAAATATATAAAAACATATATTATTTTCTTGATCTGCACCATTAAAACCTCATATCCGCCATGTTTTTCATAACCGACATATTCGCAACTTGCGGTCCTGTCGTTGGATTTAATCACCAATTAACAGAGCAGCCTAATGGAGGAAAAAGCCCGTGGTCCTACCGCAATTCAACCATCGCAACTGCACCCGCTGGGCAGGACACAAACATTCCATCAGCCAGTCATTGACATATATCACCAAGTCCGGATTGAGTCCTGTATAAAAGCCAGAGCGGATTTGGCGTACCCAAACAGTTGAACTTGGAGCTGGGTGTGGGCCAGAATGCATGTCCAGGAGCTCCTATTCGTTGCCGCAGTGCTAATGCCCCAGTGCCTGAGGGCCCTGCGCTACAGCCAGGGCGCCGGAGACGAGAACTGCGAGACCCTAAAATCGGAGATCCATTTGATTAAAGAGGAGTTTGATGAGCTGGGACGAATGCAGAGGACCTGCAATGCCGATGTCATAGTGAACAAGTGCGAGGGACTTTGCAATAGTCAGGTGCAGCCTTCGGTGATAACTCCAACGGGATTTCTAAAGGTGAATATTAACTGAGGGTTTTCTGGAAGTAGTGTACAAGCTAAGGTCTCCCTTTCCTGCAGGAATGCTACTGCTGTCGCGAAAGCTTCCTCAAGGAAAAAGTTATTACCCTAACTCATTGCTACGATCCGGATGGCACCCGTCTCACCTCTCCGGAAATGGGCAGCATGGACATACGTCTCCGAGAGCCAACCGAATGCAAGTGCTTCAAGTGCGGCGACTTTACGCGTTGATTTATCGATGTATTTCAATGTAAACACTTTAAAGTAAACTCAATTTCAAAGTATATGAGCAATTCCCAAAAATTCGTTGCTTATTTTAAGACCAAGCTGGGATACTTCAAGTGTTTGTATATTTCATATTTTTTCGCTTGATAACACTTTGCATAGTTTTGATATTCCATAGCCCAGAGGCCAACATCTGTTTGATTGAAACTCCAGTTAAAACAAATACCTGCGGGGCAGCTCAGTTACTCCATGTATGCATGAAGTTTGATTTACCAAAAACATGCAATCCAATCCCGAAACCGCAAATGTTTGACATATCGCTGGAGGCCAACAATTGATTGCGCCCAAAAATGGACTATACATCAGTTGTTTTTGCCAGCGAGCATGTTGGCTTCTCGACTTAGCCTGGCCCAATGGCCACCAAAATTAACTCATTTGGTGGCATTCGAAATTGCAATGTTTGCAATGGACTTTGGCACCGGAGCTGGGCAGTTAACCACCCGGAAACTCGTCCCGCAAACATAATAATCAAGCGTAAACTGCACTTAAGATGAAAACCGCTTTCTGGTTGTTAATTTTTATCATTATTTCTTGCATCCATCTCCCTTTCTATACCCAGGCATGCGAGTACCGAGCTGAATTTATTAAAACCCCTTCATCAGCGGTGCCCGAGCGGGCCAACATTTGCTAATTGTAAATTGGAGCGGCTCGCTCGGTTCGGGGCTAAATTATAATTCCATGTTCACAAGCACATTTGCACGCACTGTAATTTACTTAAGCATTTTCCACCGCTCGCCATATACTTACCCAGCTGGATGGGATCTGGTCCTGTTGCCGCCTCCCGTTCTCGTGTGCGAAACTCATAATTTAGTTGACACGCCCATTAACATCGGGCCAGCGATCTCTCAGCTCGGTTCGCATCCATCTTAGGGTTCGAGGTTCGCGGATCCGAGGGGGTTCCTGGGTGGCATCGCGCGTCAGTGGCTCCATCAACAGCAACGTGCCGACACAATATAAATTATATATTTATATGCCACATTGCCGCATATATGTACATGCATCCCGGATGGAGATGGAGTCACGTAGTAAAAGGCAGATCAGATCATCACTGATCACTGAAAACTTTTAACATTTCATTAGGGTAATAAAATTATACAGTCTATAAACGAACGGGTTTCCACAAGCAATTACAGTGCAATTTTGCCTCTTGAATGACTTATTTAGCTCACCTGAAATCCTCCAACCGATCGCGCCTTGATTGTGCTATATAAAACGATTTCTGGAAGGTACAAGTTTTAGTTAAGAAAAGAAAGAAAGGAATCCTTTTTCACCCTTCAAAAGCATTCAAAGATCTTTTCAAAATTTTACATAATGAATTTTTCAAAAATGCGTGGGTACTAAAATGTAAATTAACTGAATTTTAGCATATTTTCCAATTCCAATGCTAAATACACCAATAAATTTCACTCGATCTTTTGGCACAAGTCGAATGCATGCGTCGCGATAAATAAATTGCTGCATATTAATGGGATATAAATTAAACACAAGCCACAAAAGGCAGGCATCGTTAAGTTTCAATATTCTTCCGAGTCACTTTGATGATAATTAATGATTGTTAATTAATAACAAATTTGAGAGTCACAAAAAAAAGGGGGACAAGAAATGATAAACATTTACTTGAATGCTACTTTATTGTTATTGTGGCTGATGTGGCTGCTGGTTATCGCTTATACAATATCTAACATACTTTTTGTGTTAAAACGCGTTAATATTGGCAATTAATTTTCATCATTTCGAATTCTTTATATCTTCTCCGTTTTTTTCGTTGCTCATTTGCATGAATCCGCAATTAGTTTGATATGTTTGTCATTTTGGTGAAATATTTTTTTGTTAGCCTTAAATGAAAGCTCAAGGCGAAATGTAAACAACAAAGTTGGTTTTTTGTCGAATGGAAAAATGCTTTTAGTGTCAAGACACTGTCGTATTACCGCTCAGTCCTCAACACAATCAGCCCACATTAATGACCAAAGACAAGAAGGCGTGACATCATTGATTGGCTTTATCTTTAGAGGTATTTCGGTTATTTTTTTCATCGATTGCCTACATTTTGGGTTTGGCAACACGTTCGGATCGTCTTACGATTAAAATTTATATTGTGTTTATAATAACTATAGGCTTAGTCTCTGGACAATAGCTCAGAAAATTAAGCTTTGGATTTGGACCAGTTAATAAATCAATTGGAAAAAATATAGAAGATGGAAATTAATTATATCTAACTATAAATCTTTTTGCCCTGTTGGCACAGGACTGTATTAGGTAATTTCTTCCTGCTTGCAGGGCATCTAGGAAGCAGCATTGCAGCATTTTCCTCGCAAAAGCTCCACATACATCATATTTTAGCTACCAAGAGCTAAAGGTCGCTGCAGGGCGGTATGCAATGCAATGGGGTGGACGAGGTGCAAGGGTCACCTGTCAGAGAGTAAAAGCGCAACGAAGCGTAAAGCGTTTTTGCATTTTGCATTAAATTTATGATTTTTACAGCTGACATTTGTTTTCGGGCGCATTTCCTTCTTGCAGCGATGAGTGCACTCGTGAGTGCGACAGTGTGTGTCTCAGTCAGCAGCAGCAGCAGCAGCCTCGTGTGCTAAGGGCAGCTCACCAACACACACGCACACACACACAAGTGTGGCAACAACACTCAACGCGACAACAACATATTTTTTGCGAGCAGAAACTGCAACTGAATCAAAAGGGACAAACAACGAATCTGTAAATGCCCTTAAGTATCAGGTTAATTTCACAATTCACGAAATCAAAATAAATCCTAGATAAATGTTAAGTGATATATCTACTCCATAATAAGACACTTATGATCTAATGTTTCCATGTAACGTGCAAGTCTTAAGCCCAACCTAGTTACCCCCAAGCAAGGGTATCGCAACAACAGCGGTGGCAGCAGCTGTCATAAGATAAAAATTTGCCCGCGCCTGCACATTGCATATGGAACTGCAAACTGCAATATGCATGCATGGCGGGGAGGTAGAGGACGCGACAGGGTACGGGGGGGCATGCAACATATTCTAATGCGCTGCGACATCGAGTGACAGCAACGGCGACAGTTGCTGTTGCCGCATGAGAGGCGGCGACAGGCGACAACTGCCAAGATGAAGGGAGCTGCATTTTCCCGGGCATGCAAATGAACTGCAATTATTATAAACGCCGACAGTTGACCGGATGTGAGCAACTAAAGGAAAACTGGCCCAAGACCAAGGCACAGATTGTGCAATTATCGTAATGGAGAGAAAAACAACCAAAAGGAAACGCATTGTTTTAAAAACTTTTACTTGAACAACATTCAACTATGTCCTATAGGAAATATATGCAAAGGAAAGAAATTAAAGCAATGCTAGCATATGTTGGGTGTGTCTTTCTGAATTTTTCTCCTGTTTTTCATAACTCTTTTTGCAAAGTTGCCCCCACACTTATTCATGAAGAAAGCGCAGCTCCTTTGGCACATTACTCATACGCCCCAGTGGGCAAATTTATGAACTCGCTCGGCGCACTTGAGGCCACGACAAACAAGCAGGAGAAAAAAGAGAAAAACCTACAAACACACAATCATGACATGCATACACGAGCAGTGGGTAAGTGCGTTTGTATGTTTATTGGCGAGTACCAGCATAAGTGGGAGGAAAGTAAAGCAGCTTGTAAAATATGCCAAGGGTTAAAAAGTGTGCAGCGTATAATTCATACACATATACAACAAGAAAGTCGCCTGGAAAAATACAGCCAAAGGACAAGGAGATGAGGGGAGCGGGAAAAACGAAAAAAGTCTTAACTGCAATCGAGCAGCGGGTGAGAAGATGAATCCAACGACTGCGGCATATCTTATAAATGTACATACAAATGAAGACACTGCAAACAAATTGGATATCACTTGCATTACGGACTTTCCACTTCCTACTTATGCATAAAACAATATTTTAGCTTTTTTTGTTTTTATAAACCAACAATAATTTAAATGTTTCTAATAATGTATTTAACAGGCTACATTGAGATTAGCACAATCGGTGAAAAAACTCAGTGTCAAATGCTTAAATTCTGGCTAAAATACTGTCCAAATTTACAAGCATTCAAGCACTTTGGTGACCGTTTTGGGCTGCTAAAAGGGCTTTTCCGGTCACATGTCCCATATCCTTTCCCACTCCCAAAACCGCACAAATGAACTGCTAAAATGCTAACAAAAGTCCGGAAAGGAAAGGACCTCACACCGTGAAAAACGCACCCCTACTTATGTGTCTGTTGGGGGATATTCGGTTGGGTGCGGCGGAGGACACAAAAAAGGATATGGGCAAGCCCGGTTGGTTCTCTATTATATATATTTTTTCCCCCTTCGTGGTTTGTAATGCGTTTGTGGCCACAAAATACTGTTAGCCACTTAATTTTGTGGTTAGCCCCGAGAGCGGCAGGGACACATGCCACACTTTTTGTGCGGTTAATTGAAACTCGATTGTTTTGTGTTGAACCAGAAATGAGTCTATTAAGTCGAAAAATGAAACTAAAACAATATTGTGAAACAAAGGAAGCCATAAAACGTTTGACTCCAACGGCCCCATTAAAGTGGCATCTAAATAAACATTTTATGGTTTTTGAAAGGCGAAACTTTCAAAAGCTTCTTAATGAACATGACAAATACTACAATCGACGGGGGCATTTTATGAGAGCATCTCCAAAAATGTTCAAAGAAGGCGTGGGGCAGCAGCGGCAGCCCCAACGACAGCTGTCAATATATGGCCGAAATATGTAAATTATCGATTGTTAATTCAAAGCGCCACGATTAGTATAATTGTGTGTTTCTCTTTTAACTCCTAAACATTTTAATGCCATAAAGCTGGGGCCAGATTTGGTTTCTTGAATAACTAACCAATTGCGTGGATTTCGTTGTGTTTTTACGATCATTTTTTGTGTTTTTATCGATGTTGCGGCCCCAATAGAGCTATTTACCT